ATGACATTTCCCTCCGGTCCCTCGTTTACCCGCCGGCACCAAGGGAAGGACCCGTGGTGTGCTGCCGGCACGTCTGATCGCGTAATCGCGCATCAAACTGCACCGGAGCAATTAGCCACGCCTCCCCACCGCGATATCCAGCCCGTATGACCGGGGCCTATATTTACTTATTTATAGTCTGCCTTTTCCACTTGGGTTCAAGGCGGATTATCCAGGGTGAGTCGATACAGTCGACGGACGCGGCAGGCGATCAACAACGCAATAGGATTAGGGTTGTCGAACCGACCAGAAGTCTAAACACAGGACGAAAGCAAAGCATAAGGATTAGCGTGACATGTTAAAGGATGCAACATTCCAGAGTAGGCTCTTCGTTTTCCCCCAAGCTGTACACAATAATACAGACCACGATCCCTAATAATTTTTCTAAGTCACTTTGTGAATCGTTTTGTCCCGTGCAACCTTATGACTGATGCAGAGAAGCCCTCTCGAATAGTTCAGTGCTGCGTAGTTTGCAGAAAGCCATGAGAGTATTCCTGATCTCCTCAGGCAGGCCGTTCCACAAGGTGGGGGCCACAGTGGAGAAGGCCATGTGTATGGTTAGGGTTGGCAGCTCTGGGTTGGGAAATTCCTGGGGATTTGGGGGTGGAGCCTGGAAGGGCGGGGCTTAGGGAGAGGAGGGATCTCAGCAGGTTATAATGTCATAGAGTCCACCCTTCAAAGTAGCCATTCTCTCGAGGGGAACGGACGTTGGTTATATGCAGTGTTCCCTCTAAGCTGTTAGTGTGAGCTAGCTCACAGTTTTTTAGCCTCCGGCTCACACACTTTTGTCTTAGCTCAGGAAGGAGGGCTCCAGAGCAAACTCATTGATGCAGTAGCCAAATCGCTCGCTCACAACTTTAATGCGAGGAGCTCACAAAGTAGAACTTTTGCTCACAAGACTCCACAGCCTAGAGGGAGCATTGGTTGTATGAAGGTCCCCCGGTGCTCCCTGGAGGCATGACAACCCCATATGTGCCCATTGTATAGTCAGCCTGCTTTAAAACCTAAGATGCGGCCACTTTCTTCTGTTTATCTTCAATGGTCTGTCGCCAGAAATCGTATGCGGACGAGTGTGTTGGTCTTAAATATATAATCTGG